GCCATTGTGGCCATTTGGGGAGGACGGAAGAGCTCTCTCTCTGTCTCTACCTCTCTTTGTAACTCTGTCTTTCAAATAAATTAAAACAAAATCTTAAAAAAAAATACTTAAAATTTTTAAATGTAATGATTAACAAAAGACCCTGTTCTACAGTCTGTGCAATTACAATATATTTCTATAAATCACAGAAGAACTGCTTCCTTAAATGCATCCTACAAACGAATGATCACAAGCTTTGGAAAATGTTTACTGTATGCAGAAAATACTAAGTGACTGTGGTTGCCAAATCAATGGACTTTATGTCGGTATTTCTCAGCTCCTATCAATAATTCTGCTTTAGAACTTTGCTGTAAGTACCTTTTTCTTGCCCTTTTTTTGTTTGTTAATAGCCTCATTTCATATTCTGCTCCTTGCATCGCATATTGGAGTACCTGGGTTCAGTTCTCAGCTCTGGTTTCCAATTCCACCTCCCTGCCAATGTAGACCCTAGGAGGCTAGGTGATGGCTCTGTTCAGTGTGTTACCTCCATCCATATGGGAGACCTGGATTACAATCCTGGATTTCTGCTTCAGTCCCAGACCAGCCAGAGCCACTGTGGGCATTTGGAAAGTGAACCAGCAGATGGGAACTTTCTGTGTCCTCTCTCTCAAAAAAAAAAAAAAAAAATTCTATTCCCTTCCCTATACTCTAGTGCTGTTGGTCAAGAAGGGGGTATTAGTCAATTCTGTGGAACGTGTAAGGTCTCCTTTAGAAACTCAGTACAGAAAATCAAAATAAATGTCAGTAAAGTTAATAATAAAAAATTTACAAAAGTAAGTATTAAATACTGTAAGACTGTAATCAAATTTAAACTCACTTATTTGAAAGAGTAAAGCATAAAGGAACTTAACTGATATAAGTGTCCAACGTCCCATAGTTCATAAGTGACAGGGTCAGAAGTTGAACCCAGTTCTCTAAAACTAAGAAATTCCTGTAAAGTCTGTACTATATTACTTTACAGTCACATACCACTTAGTTCTTAGAATACTGTCTCATAGATTATTATCAAGGTTATCTTACTCAACTTCACAACATCTGCGAGAGAAGGGTTCCTAAGCATCAAACCTGTAATCTCCTATGACCAGCTTTGCTTAAAGGGTATGGAACTAAAGTGGCTGAGCTGAATGAAGATCCTCTGACTTCTAATATAGCATTATACCACTTGTAGCCCATACACAATCACTTTTTTCACTGAGCACAACTCAATCCTCTTTCCTTCCTTCCCATATTTGAACGGTAACCATATCTGTTATTAAATACACATATATGAAGTGAAAATAAGTTGGTCACTGTATTAACAATGTTCATTTCAGGTTTATGTTTATTCCATTGACTATACATTGGAAGGTTATCATTAACAAGTGGCATTTGCAAGCTTATGTTGACTGCACAACCTTAGAAGGTACAAGGAACTGCAACAGGTAAAATGGTTTCATCTCCTTGTCTAATTGTCCAACACTCATTTAAACAATTTAGTAAGTACCTATCAGGAACTTCAGCATTCTGGTGTTCAAGACACACAGGAAAGACACTGCACTTGAACCCCTAAGATCTTTATGGTTAACTGAAAATAAGGCCACAGACTGCAACGTGCTGGAAGTGAAAAGAGAACAGAAATTACTATGCAATAGTTGACAGAACTGAGTGGCTACCTTTGCCCGGGGGGAAGAAAGCATTCTCAGTGGTGGAGATCATCTGTAAAGGCGGTGAAAACAAGCCCTCACAGGAAGGCCGCTAACACAAAAGCCCTATGTGCTCCTGAGTGGTGGACTACAGCACAATGTTCTACATAAATGTTAGGATTTTAACATATAACACTCATAGACAGATAAAGCTACTCTAAGAAATGTCTTCCAGGCTTCAAGACCTCTGTGTGTGTGTGTGTGTGCGCATGCGCAGGTTTTCATTGTGTATGTTAAAGCTCTTTTCCCCATTCAGTCTCAGAAGCAATGTAGTCACCAATTCCTGCTGCTCATCTGTCAGATTTCCTCAGTGATCTCCATTACTGCTTTCATAAGTTCCCTAAAGTTGGAGAAATTGTGAAGTAAAACTGCAAACTCATTCAACCTCTTCAATACTGACATTTCACCCCGCTAGGACTCAATGCTTTGTAGCTGGTTTTTCTCTCTCCCGTTTTGGTTTCACCCAGACAGGACTGGTTTGGACTACCACAGTGCTCAAGGAGCTATTTGGTAGAAGGTCACCTGGGCAATGAAGCAACACTTCCCCACCCCCCTTCTCTCCTCTAGAGATCAGGAAACCTCACTCTGGAAAAAAAACTCATTAATAAAATTGTATTTGCATCTGTAGAAGGCATGCCTAATAAACATTTCAATAGATAACTGTTATTGACCAGTATGAACAACATATAAGTACAACATGCTAAAACTGTTGCTTTTTCCTCTTCTGTTTCTTGTGGTTGTTTTTGTTTTTAAATCTGTGCTTATTAGAAAGGCAGAGAGAGAGGGAGAGAGAGCTTAATCTCTGTGCCAAACACCCACCCTCAGTAATCTTCTTCAATACTTGAAGACAGCAAGATCTTCAAGATTGTGTTTTTCCAATAAGGAGCACCAAAAGGCCAGTTTTTCTACGGTAAACTTCATAACAGTTTATTGAAAAGAATTTGGAAGATACAGAAAAAATAAAATTAAGTCAGTCACATCCACCAAAGACGATTCCATCTTCCTCATTTCTCAGCTGTCTTTCTAATGGATTCTTCAATTTCACTGGTTAGAAAACTGCAACATTTTAGCTGAGAATATGAATTTTTCATTCTAATTGAAAATTTTAAAAAAATCAAGTCTGTCATTTTTACAACACCTTTCCATTTAAAAGAAACAAGGAGCTTTCTGAGTTGGTAGTACAAATAAAATACTTTAACCCAAAACTGAAAAACATTCTTCCCTAAAGCATTCTGTTTGGGGTCAATACACTGTCTACCACATTACATGCAAAATAGGTTGGGCAAAATCCTAGGCAAAACAATTTCTGTATGTCCACAAAATATTATTCATCAAAATAAGAGGTCATTTGGAGTTTTACAAATGGAGAAAGCTAAGGAGAGAGAAAAGCACTACTTAACACACATATACCACAAAGCTAGTCCAGGCATCGATTGGGAGTGGCAATTAAGTAGGATTTTAGGGAGGAACAGGAAAAAAAAAAAGGTTGACAGAAGCAGAAAACATGAAGTCAACAATATCTAGACTTAGTCTTCTTACCTTTAAGTTTACAGTCAAATAAATCTGGTTTACTTTTATTTCCAGCCCGTTCCGTTTCCCTTGCAGGGAAACGTAGGCACTTTTCCATAAGCTAGCCTGAGCCTCCCGCGGACCACGACGCTGCAACACCATCTTTCAACGCCTCCCCATTCAATCGAGAATGTCGCAGTCCCAACACTCCCTGTTTTGGAGATAGTTAGGCCTTCGACCTTCCTCGTTCACCCTTCTAGGCCCACCCGAAGCCTAGGAACACCTACAGAATCTCTCTTGCGAGGATGTCAGATAAAGATCCTTAGAATTACTGAGGAAGCACATTCAGAGGGAAGCTTTCGCGTGACTCCGCAGCGAGGGCCACATCAGTGACATTCCCTCCCAAGCCTGTCTCGCAGGAGACGCCTCTGCCTCCAGGGTTTTTCCACCGTTCCAGCTCCCCAGCCCCGGACGAGGGCCTTGACCGAGGAATGAGCTTTGGGGAATGGGGACCCGGTGGCAGTGCAAACCCCCCTCCCCCGAAGGAATGGATGAACCAATTCTACTACACGGAGCCCCAAAGATTCCGAAGAGGGTACGATAATGACCGCATTCACTCCCAAACAAGGAAAAAGTGGACACCTCAACCTCCAGGTAGTAGGGGCGACCACGGTAGGAGGGATGGGAGGACAGGGGTCAGGAGACATGGAGAAATAAGCTCCCTGCCGGCGCAGAGTGACAGCGGGAAGGATGAGCCGGGCAACGGAGGCCGCTGTTCACACTCCCCCTTCTCCCTCCTGCCACCCCCTGGGCTGTCCCCACCAGTCTCCAGTTACCGGTCGCCGCTCACCTGCTGGGGCGCGAGGTGCACAAGCAATACGGATCACCGACCCAGAGGCTCTGTCACTGCGGGAGGGGAAGTCTTCAGCTGCGGGGGAGGGGCGGGCCTAACCATTCACGTGACCTCGAGCTCCGCCCCGCCGCCCCCAACCCGGCGCGCTGCATTTCGGGGGTTTGCGTTTTTTACGGATCGCTTGAATACGCATTTTTCTAGCGATCAAAACAAAAACTAAGCCTAAGTTTTCACCACGATTAGGTTGCAGAGTGCAATGGAGAAAAGTGCGGATGGCAAGGGTTAAAGTGCATTGCTAAGGAAGTGACGTTCACGCCCAGCTCCACGGACCGGAAATGGCGATGGAGTTCCGAGCCACTGGCGCCTGCCGGTAAAGTCCCAGGCCGTAAGGCTTAGGCTAGTCACGTGATCTCAAAACGGTGTGCCTGGGGTAGCGAGTTATCCGGCCGATTGTTAGCTACGTTTGTTTCTAAAGCACCTCATTGACTTGAGCTTTCCACACTTGTTTACACTTACAGGAACCGGCTTTACAAAACCCTATTAGACAAAAGCGTTTGGCGGTCTAGCTGGTGACCATCAACTAGAAAGAACAGGGTCGGGAAAGACTGAACTTGCTGATTTGGGAGCGACGAGGGAGGGGTGGAAAAATCCGGATTTCGCCGCCCGGGCCTACCAGGCAAGCCCCACAGCTGCTGTCGTAACGGGTAGGAGGAGCAGCAGCGTGACGCCCGAAGGCGCAGCCCAGTTGGGAAGATGGAGGTCTTGGAGAGGAGGGGGAAGGGTGCGCAGAGGCGAGTAGTGCGGCTGCGCGCTGGGCGGCGGACGCTCTGGCGGGCGTAGGGGGCACGGTTAACGTTAAAGCGGGCCGTTGGCGTGCTTGACGCTATGGCGGGGTAGTAGATCTGTGGATGCGTGTTTGGGCAGCGCAGGCACCCTAGCGGCGGCGGGAGACCCCTCCCACCCCCTCCGGAGGCACAGGGCCGTGCTCGGCTGTCGCGGTCTCAGTCCCACGCTCCGCTCCCTGCCCGGAGCGAGGAGGCCGGCTCGGGAGGTTGAGTGGCCCGAGCTGAGAGCGCTGAGGGCTCTGGGCGGCGACGACGACGGCGTTGATAGCGGCGGTAACGACGGCCTCAGCAGGCGGGGAAGATGAAAGGGTGAGGAAGGACAGCCGGCTGGGGCCCAGCCGGGCCCGTGTAATGGGAGAGCCGCGGAGGAGGGGAGTCCAGGGCGAAGACTGCGCGGTCGGAGGCTTTTAGGCTTTTTCTGTTTGCTCCGCTCCCAGAGGGGGCGGCGGCTCGGCGCGGGCTGTTAGACTAAAGGACGAAGGGAGGCGAGACCCCGGGAACGCAGGATTTCGGCGCCCCAAGGACGACTGTGTGCTGAGCGGAGGCCAGCGGCAGGGCCCGGAGGCCACTGTGAGGCCTGGGGCCTCCTGCCGGGGAGCGCACGGCTGAGCCAGCCGCGGCCCGCCACTTCAGGTGGAAAGGGGCTGCTTGTCCTCCAGGCGCAGGCTCGGCGCTGCGGCCGCCGTTTTTGACAACCTTCCCATTTTGTTCACACGTGGGATTTCTGCAGAATCTTCTGGAGGGAGAAGGGTCGGGAATGAAGAGCCTGGGGATGAGTATTAAGAGCTAGTGACTCAACTGGATTTGGGTTGGGTCAGCGAGTGGAGGAGGGGGAGAGCGCGCGAGCCCTGTAGACTCGGGATGCCAAAACGTTTAAGGAAGTCTTGTGCATCAGTAGGTGGAGCTGTTGCTTCAGTGGTTCACCGTTTGCCCCTGAGTAGTGTGAGGGGGGTCGTGGGTTACCACAATGCTTTCCTTAGGTGATCACGGTTTCCCTCTCGGATAAAATTAAGGATTGTTTAGGTACGACTATTCCCATTAGGATAAAATGTCTATTTACCATTACTTTATGTATTATTACAGTTTTAGTAATACAGCATTGTGTTAGCCTAAATTGCATTACCTAAATCAGCCGTTTTGGAGCTTTGCCCTACAGTCCTTAGAGAGAGAAATGGAAGCTTGTAAATGTTAAATCTCTGAAATGCCTGAGGTTTTTTTCTATTAACATAAGTCAGTTGAAGAATTGTAGCTACGCTGTAAATTAGTGAAGTCTTTAGACTACTCAGCGGCTCCCGTGAGGATGAAATGTGTACTCGGTACTGCGTAAAACAGGTCTAAATATTATCTGTGTATCTCCGTTGGAAGTCTCAAGAGAAATTCCAAGAAAGTTTAATTTGATACTGGATCTGTAACAAGTTACTTTACTGTGGTTTTGCTTTAAATAAAGTTTAGGAAGCAAATTCACAGTACCTACATTAATTATTTCATATCAAGTTCTAAAGAGTTCCAATAAAAATTAATTGAGTATGGGAATTATATACTCCTTGAATCTTGATCTAGGGAGTTGCACTACTTTACATATGATCCAACATGTTTTCAGAGTTTTTTTGTTTGGTTTTTACTGGACTGAACGTGAGTATGGATGATGTCTCTTAGTGTATTTTCTTTACCAGAGACACTCAATACATGTTTGTTGTTCTGTTAAAATGATAAAGTTGAGGAGTTTTTAATTTTGAACTGTGCTGTGGATTTAAAGGAGGGTCCTAAGAAATTATTCTGGATGTTTAGATCCAAAATCTTTGATCTAGCTCAGTCTTCATGGGATGCAATGTTCTTTCTCATAGGTACTACCTTGGCTAGACTTGGAACCGAATAGATATTATTCACAATTTACTTTGAGTGCAGATACTCAGGAAGCTATTGTCTTTTTATTTAAAATGGATATTTGTGCATAACCTGATATGGGCAGATTCTTAGAAATGAATAACTGGCTAGAGTTCGTGGGGACTGTTAGAGTTAATGAGTCAGTACTGATAAATGATTGTAAAGCAACTATACATGAAGAGTCCTTACATGTAGTTCCTATCATTTAGGATTAGGAGCCTACAATGTGTTTTTTACTGTGAACTTTCTTTTTATTTTTTATTTTTGACAAGCAGAGTTAGACAGTGAGACAGAGAGAGACAACGGTCTTCCTTTCTGTTGGTTCATCCCCCCCCCCCCCATGGCCGCCACAGCCGGCGCACTGTGCCAATCCGAAGCCAGGAGCCAGGTGCTTCCTCCTGGTCTCCCATGCGAGTGCAGGGCTCAAGCACTTGGGCCATCCCCCACTGCCTTCCTGGGCCACAGCAGAGAGCTGTACAGGAAGAGGAGCAGCCGGGACAGAATCCGGCGCCCCAACCGGGACTAGAACCCAGGGTGCCGGAGCCGCAGGCAGAGGATTAGCCAAGTGAGCTGTGGCGCCGGCCATGAACTTTCTTTTTAAAGATTTATTTATTTACCTATTTGAAAGTCAGAAAAGAGAGAGAGAGAGAGATACTCCATCCATCTACTAGTTCACTACCCAGATGGCCACGGCCGCCTGGGCTGTACTAAGCTGAAGCCAGGAGCTGTCTCCCAAGTGGGTGCAGGGGCCCAAGGACTTGGGCCATTTTCTGCTGCTTTCCCAGGCGCATTAGTATGGAGCAGGATCGTAAATGGAGCATCTGGGACTCGAACCAGAAACGGTTCCCAAGTGGGATGCTGGCACTGAGGATGGCGGTTTAACCTGCTGCTCCTCAGTGGTCGACCCCTTCATTGTGAACTAAAAGATGATTTCTTAAGAATAGTCTAACCTTCAATATGAACTGTAAGGTTGACTTCAAAAAAAAATTTTTTTTTTTGCTTCTAAGTCTGTGTCCAAGGCACTGAAAAATGAAGGCAGGCAGGATGTACTAAATTGTTTAAAAGTTGCTAAGGTCCTTGAGTTCCTAAACTTGTATCACCGGTTTGTAATGTGGCCAGTGTCCCGACTCCATTTGGAAAAGCCTGTGAAAGTGAAACTGATTGTGATTAAGTTGTTTTTTTTTTTTTTTAAGATTTGTTTGCTTATTTGAAAGGTAGAGTTGGAGAGAGAGAGATCTTCCATCCACTGGTTCGCTCCCCAAATGGCCACAACAGCCAGAGCTGGGCCAGTCTGAACCAGGAGCTAGGAGCTTCTTCCAGGTCTCACACATGGGTACGGAGGCCAAAGCACTTGGCCATCTTCTATTGCTTTCCCAGTTGCATTAGCAGTGAGCTGGATCGGAAGTGGAGCCTCTGGGATGGCGGGTGCTGCGGGTGGTGGCTTTACCCACTAGGCCACAGCGCCATCTTCAGTTATGTGTATTTGTTATGAAATTTTATTTGCTAAGTGTTTTATTGTATTTTAGCTAGCTGAACAGTAAGTTAAATAGAAATACATGAAATCAGAAACTATTTTCTTCATATTTTTGCTACTGGAATTTTTATTAGTAGTAGCAATAGGACATTCCATTGTATTGGCATGTGTTTTTCCTTTCCTCTGTAGTAGATACATTGCTGTTTACTAACTACAGGGTGTGTTTATATGTGTGTTTGTATGAAGTTTGTGTATTAAGAAATGCTGCCTCCTATGTACTGAGGTTGCTTATTCCTGAGAACCAGCAAAATTGTAGCTTGAATTTGTGGATGATAAGCTGATTATTCCTATCTGCTGTTCTTCCTAAGAAAGGTGATATTCAACCAGGTGTGCCATAGACAGCGCAACTAAGGTGACAATGTAATAGTAAAATCCATTTATCCTTCATAGTGAAGAAGTGCAGATTTGTCCTGATAAAAATGTCTTTAATGAGATGTGAATGCATGTGACCGAAGATGGGAAAGCAGGTATAGCAATGGTAGAAATACAGGACAGTGTATTTTACTAATTGAATCATTGAAAGATGCTATTTTGACCAGATGTTACTAGAATAGAAAATTAAGATAAAAGATTATGCAGTGAGAGACAGAACCATGGAAGAACTCAGAATAATGATTAACCTCCAAGGAGAGCAAAGGAGTCTAGAAATATCTTGTCTTTCATGTTTTTTTTATTACGAATAGGAGTTTGTTTATGTGTGTTAAAAAGGCAGTTTAGCTGGTTTTTGTCAGCAAAACCAAAGAAAAGAGCCAGGTAGGCCAAAGTGGCATTTGACAATTTTTGTAGGCCTGGTTTCTGTGAAACTAATAATTTGTGATTTGTTCACTAAGATACTGAATTTTAACAAATACTGTGTGGTGTCCCCTTTGCTATGTTGAGCTAAATTCATTTAACATATAGCCTTCTTGCATTATAATTTTTTAAAACAATGTAATGTTCTAATATAAAGGAAAAATGAATGGAACTTGTAAAATCTTTCACTATGTCATCATCAGGTACAGCTATACCATAAAGCATAAGAAGCTCAGATGTTTCCATCTATTAATTAATAGAATCATTGTTTAATTTAGAAAGTATGTCTTACCTATACAGGTATATATATTGGTGGCTCACGGTGTGCTACCATTAGTGCTGTGATTTCTCAAAATTGTTGACAACTCTAGGTAAAGCTCTGAACACAGGGGATTCAGGAGTTTCTGGGTTGGGCCAAAAAAGAAAAGACATCTCAGGAGAAGGAATTTCTGATAAATCAGTGTTTAAGCTACCCAGATTTGTGGTAGGTGTTATGGCTGCCTTTGAAAACTTAATATTGAGAACAGTTAATATCAAAGTAAAGCAGAATGTTCTTTTGAATTTCACAACATGAAAAAGGAAATAAATATTTCTACCTACCATGTAAAGCCAACATAATTCCCTCAGTCTGGTGTGAATGATTTTATTTCCAATAAAAATTATTATGATACCTCTTGAACATAATTTCTCAATATATACTTTAATTCAAGATGTTTTTACTAGTTCATCCCCACCAAACCTAATTTTTCACAAAGTAATACCTGCTAATATTCTCCATGAAATTCAGGAATTCATATGTCATATGCACTGCAAACCTATATCATGGAGAAGGAAGTACTATGTTTATCAGCCTCCTTCCCACCTGAACAGTCAGAACATCACAATGATCATTTAAGGTCTATATGGTAGGGTGGGTGTTTAGCCTAGCCTTGAAGATGTTGCCTAGGACATCCTCATTCCATATAGGAGTGCTTAAGTGTCAGGCCCTGTGTACCCTGAGATGGAGTGAGCAGGTGGTTGCTCAAGTAATTGGGTCCTTGGCTGCCCATATGAGGCACCTGCATAGAGTTCCCAAATTTTGGCTTTGACCTAGCTCTGC